AAGATTAGGTACGTTACACAAGGTATTCCTATTGCCCTGACCAAGTTGCGAAGACGTAAAGGATACTGTGGCCAAATAAAAGGCCACACCATCTTTTTCTTCATATCTTTGCAGAGCTGTCATAAAATCTATTCCAAGGCTCCTTATCAGCAACTCTTATATGAATTATATACAACCTACCTGAATATTTATATCCTAACTAATTTTCAAGCAAATTAGTCTTTTTATAATCTATCTTACTAGAACTGTTCTCCTGCTCTAATCCATCCTCACATTTATTATCAAGTTTGTCTATTAAACTCTGTCATATATGCTTTTAGTATATGCCTTTAAATGCATACACACCGGTTTTTCTTGTACCCTTTTTATATTGATTACTTGAGTACTGTCATTATTTAAAAAGAACAGATAATTATGATCTAATTACTGCTTATGGATATTATTTAAGGAATCTTTTATTTTAGTGGCACATCATAATCATATGCTTTATGTTAAGAGTTGTACTGAAAATGTAAAAAAACCATTGATGGCAATTTACTCCTTCTCCAATGATATACCAGCAAGTATGGATAGTTTAATCAAAATTGTGAAGAAGCATTTATCGTACGTTTAAAAAAAATATATTTTTGAATCAAGCAATAGTAGACAAAATGCTTTCTCCTATTGTAGTAATCAAGCGAAATGAAAAATAAATCAAAGATACCTAACCTGAGATCGTGATCTGTCCTCTTGGGTCACCAAAATGGTAATTTTTATTCCTTAAGTACTTATTTACAGTAGTCAATATTCATTTCAGAGGTCATTTTTTTGAAAATAACAATGAATAACTAAGAAATCAATTATATATTCCTCTTTGCCTCTAGTTTCCTTTGGGTACCGGAGTTCAATGTTTTGGTTTGGTACCCAAGCTTCCTTACACTGAAATCAGCCCCAGTTACAACTACATGCCCCACTGGCTGCCGACTCGGCCACCGCTTATCATCCGTCCTGGAAGATCTAGCCGTTCTAAGCGGATTCAACTCATAAAAGCGATCACTAGTTCCGATCAACAAAATCCACAACCTCAAGATACTCTCATTCAGACATCGCTATCAAATAGCGAGTCTCATCTTAAAACTGAAAATGACGAAGCCGAGCCCAAAGTATCAAATGAACTTACCAGGCCGCCAGATCAAGGAGTTCCCCCTGTAATTAACGTTGAAGAAAGCGGCAAAGAGAATTATGATGGTGATACCTGCCTCGAGCTCGAATGCGCAGACGGCGTGGGGGCCGAAAACCAAGCAGGGCTTCATAAACGAGTACAGATTGGCGCTGATCTCACCTTTGACTCTCTAGCCTTGACATTAAATGCTCTACGTCTTGCCATCCGCGACCGGGCCTCCCAGACTGCATATCCTGGCGCAGTAGGGACGGCATCATCCACAAATGGTGGATTTCGCCTATTACGGGATAATCGAGTGGAGCCATACTGCCTGACGTCCCAATTAAGTAGGACTTCAGCTACCAAGTTTTGATCAATTAGTAAAAGTGTTGGCCAGGGTAAACCAATTTTTGGTACTTGTATATTAATGGTAATTCACCGAGATATCATTTAGGCTGCAATAGAGTACAACTTTTGAGATCGATAATGTGTGAACTTACAAGGGACTGATCAAACTTTATTTTCTGTTCATCATTTGCCGAATGAGATAAGTTAACCCTGACTATTCATTCCCTTTAGTGAATATTTACTTATAACCCAAAAGCTATAAAATAACTCTTGTGAAAACCAGTAAAAGTATGCCGTTAATCAGAGAAGATTATAAGGCAAAAGCTAGAATTAAGTTTACGATATGCACAATGTTTGATAGCTTTGACAATACATATTTGACATCTTTCCGCTTATTAATTGTGATAAGCTACTTTACTATATGTTTCGTCATCTTTTAGGGAAGTTTGCTTTTGCTATTAGGTAAATATAAGCATAAAAGCTTTCTGTTTTTATTCGTAAGCAGGGAGGAATTTTGGTAGGAGATGAATTATACCCCAATCTCGTAGGCTTAAATTATTCCTTGCTATCACTTTAAATGTTTTGTCAATTTCATCCGCAGCATAAAGCTCTTTTTACTGCATTGTATCGATATTATTCAGGGCGTTCCAGTTAATATGTGATATCACTTATATCTATCGTTTCACTTAGCATTAAGTGATTTGGATCTGCCAAAATCTCCTTAGAACTTAGTCTTTTTGGAGTCTATTCTGCAATAATTTAAGTTATTTAAATTATATCGTCGATATGAATACCAAGAGGGTGTGGCGTACAAGAATAAGTACGTTCCACAAGGTCTCCTTGACGCTCCGAGGGTCGAACCAACACTATAGAGCTAAAGGAGACTGCGAT